AAATCTTAGATCTTATTATTATTCTTTAATTTATTTAAGAATGCAATCTCATTTTCACAATTTACGTAGCGTTGAGTGGGATATCAGAACTGAAGTTCGTGGATTTTCTCGCTTCTGCAAGGCAAATGTTGGGACAGAACCCTGAAGGGACGACAATCGGGATCATCAAAATCCTCTACGACTGAGAAAACTCAGTAGGTTAGGGTATCGGCAATGCTTCAAATTTGTGTTGGGTAGGTGTTTGATTTGCGGGCTGGGAAGTTGCCTATCCTGAGGTCATGCGTGGTTTTCCTCAAGTTATTCCGGCAATGGATGTATATATTCATATTTTATGACCTCAGCACTAGTTGGAGGTGAATGGTTAGTTTTACGCTCCGGCCGCTTTACCCCGGGGGAAAGAGCCTCCGGTACCCGTTGGATAGGAGATTGAGTGGGCCCTGGAGCCGGTCTGGAGGACTAGGAAAAGAGGAAATTCTTGACCCCACCGGGACTCGAATTCCGACAACTCGGTCGTCCAGCCAGTCGCCATACATACTATGCTATTTCGGTTATGTACGTATGGAAACTATATACAGAAGTAAATCACTACACTGGACAATTCCTTACACTTTCCCTTGGTCTCAGAATATGGATTTAAGCATTTTAAGGAGAGCAGGCGTCATAAGTTCTTCAAGAGTTTCAATAATTCGCGTGCAAGTCAGGATAGACAGACACATGTCTTACCTCGTCATTAGATTCAAGTTTTCGCATATCGCAAACTGAGCAGGGTCCACATGTCGGCAGTCTAGTGACATGAAAATCAATATGGCTCGGAGCCTTGGGGCTATGTGATGGCTGCGTTTTGCTAGCAGTCAGCCACGCTGACACTCAGCAATCACCTTCCATGACGCGCTACAACACCACTGAATGTTGACACTAACAGGAGGAGGGGAAGTTGTTTCAACAACCCTTCAGGAAGCAGGACTGCTCCGCAGTTGCACAACATGAATCGTTCCATTTAACGGATAAAACACAACCCTTTTAGCACAGTCGTTCAATTTTACCCCTCCGTAAGGAAATGACTGATAAAAATACTGCAATCCAATTTCGGTTACATTAGTATGTTTAAAAAAGTCTGAAAGGGATGATATCAATCAGAAATCTAGGCAAGGACTGTAAGGTAATGTTAAAATAAAGTTTAAAGAAATAAGATTTGTAAATATAGACCGAATTCTTCTGTAAGATTTGAGGCTTTCACGGCGGTGACTATGAAGAAAGCAGTCTTCTGGGATTTGGCACCGTGTATATGTGGTGTTAACCGACGTTTCGGAGGAACGTATCGGTTTTTTTACCGGTTCTCACGGTCTCTTCGCTTGCAGATTTCTTATATTTTTTCTTCTACCCTGAAGATGGAGGCGATACGTTCCACCGAAACGTCGGTTAACACCACATATACACGGTGCCAAATCCCAGAAAGAATGCTTTCTTCGAATTCTTCTGGTTTCAGATAATGTCCAGAAGCGGGTTCTTGTGAACTTAAAAATGGTTTCTTTTGGGTTCCCTAAAGGGCAAGAAATTCCTTGATCAGCTAAGAAACTATTTTCTTATCAAGAAGAACTTTGCTAATGTTGTTAGTGTTCTACATTTGCAATCTAATGACAAGTAGAGGCTCAGAAGTTTCATCTTACACCGTTCAAAGTTTTGTCTTCAGCACTAAACGCATTGTAACGTACGTACTGTTATTCACTTAAGAGATTAGACAACTGACAGTGTCCTCGTCTTCATCTTCTTAAGCTAATCCTTTCAGAATCTGAAATCACAGCAGCGGCGGTCAGCTACGTCATAAGACCTGGGGTTAATTTCCTGTACTGGAGGTCTTTGTGTAATTCAGTGAGTATATTCCTAGCCACCACATCAGAAGGGGGGTGGGCAAAAGGGAAAGAAAAATATACCAAAAAGAAAGCACAGAAAGAGGCAAGGAAGAAGGGATAGAGGAGAAATAGAGCATGAATAAGGAGGCATAGATGGAACAGGAAAACGAAGGAGCAAAGGAGCTGAACAAGGAGAAGACGATGATTTAGAAGAATGGGGAGCGGAAATACGATATGAGAAGAATGTTAAATAGATAAAAACGTGAAACAGAAGGAACAAAGAATGATGGGGGGGGGCGAAGTGGAAGCAACAGAAGAAGGCAAAGGAGAAGAAGTGGGTCGGAGGGGAATAACGGTGGGAAGGAAGAGGATATGAAATAGAGAAGGAAAGAAAAGGAAACAAGGAAGAGGGCAGAGAGGAAAAAGCCGGTGAAGGCTGTGGGGCTCGAGAATAAGATGAAAAAAGAGGTCAAAGAAGAGGAAAAGAATAAGGAGCAAGGTCAGGAAGCAAAGAAGCAAAGCAAACTAAGAAGGAGACGACGAAGAAACATCAGATATAAGGTGACAGAAGGGAAAAAACAGGAAAATAAAAATAAATGTTGACGTATATCAAATTATTGAGTGTCCTTTCTTGAAGAAGGCTGTTTCTACGTCGTCTAGTGGCCTTTCAAACGGAGTCAAAAATTCATGTCTTCCCTTTGGGTGTTCTCTCAGTACATGTTACGAGAACTTCCGGCATACAATTAGACAAATGCAACGAAACCAATTATTTATATATATGTCGAATTCTTCTATTTTACTCCATTATCATTACTAATGTCATGCAAACTCATTGGTTTGAAAATATCTCCCTTCCCTACTTTGGCATTGAAATCTCCTAACAAAATTTTAATAGAATACTTCGGGAATTTATCAAATACATGTTCTAGTTATTCATAGAACGCGTTCTTTATGTCATCAAATTTATCTTCTGTTGGGGCGTGAACATTATTAAGGATGATATAACACCAGCGACTTTTTAATATTATATACTATGATATCCTATCACAAATGAACTCTACCCTCTTAACTGCTGGTACGATTCTCTTATGAACGAAAAAACCTGTACCTAATTCATGATTTTCATTCTCTTTTCTACAGAAAAATGACGTGGCCCAGGATAGGGACCAGTTGAGGGCTCTTGTGAACATGATAATGAACCTTCGCTTTCCATAAAATGCTGAGGAAATTCTTGAGTAACTGCACAATTGACGGCTCCTCAAGAAGGGCTCAGCTCCATTGGTAAGTAATATTTTTTATTGCTAGTGGGGTGGGACTAACTCCCTTGTACTGCGGCCACTTGTGGCCTATTTTACCAGCCCCAGATGATAGGTGAGGGTGATTGTGGAGCAATTGGTGGAATGAAGATTGGCAGGGGAAACCGAAGTACTCGGAGTATACCTGCCCCAGCGCCACTTTGTCCACCACAAATCCCACTTGATCAGACCCGGGATCGAACCCAGGCCGCCGCGGTGGGTAGACAGCGACTAACCTCTTGAGCTATAGCGCGGCCTAATCCATGAGTAAGTAAGTAAATAAGTATGTCGAATTCTTTAGAAAACTGAATCTTATATTTCTATAAAATATCTTAATTTATTCTGCGGTCGATGAGTGCGCTCTTTCGCCATGTCTGCGACGTTGTCTCCATGTCCCAGTTTTGCTGCCTGCAAAGTCAGACTCTGTAGTGTTAGAACAGGCAAAAGAAATTATTTGGCGATTTCTTATAGAAACATTAATGAAGTGAAACAGAAAATCCCCTTCTACGGAAGCAGAATTGACCAATCGTGAATCTACATACCTGCCTTCTCTCCTGTTTTTGTATCGACGAAAAGTGGTCAGAGAGTAGGGGGCAGGCGAGGAGAAGAAAGGAGTTCATAAACACGTGTCAAGGAAATACAATTAGAAACAGTTTATATAAGAGGTGCTTCTCGTACTGTGGAGGGGGCTGCAAAGAATTTAACGCGAGCAAACATTCTTGTATTGAATTCCCTCAGCAGGCTGTAGCTACAGACAATAGTTATTTACTTACCTAGATCCATGAGATGGAACCAAAGAGGCGTGGTCTTGCAAGCTTACTTCTCTCAATTCACACTTCACCCCCACAAAAGCTCATATTAACATCGATTTCAATTTTTTGCTGCAGCAACAAAATAATCGCCATTCCTGCAACTTCATAATCGTGTTTTGATGCCAGGCGCATGCGCTCTTTCACCTTTAATGTCCAGGAAGTTTGTTTTCTGTTCGCCACCCTTCTTATTTTTCCCTCCCTCCCCCAACATCACTTCTTGTTATGGTCTTTTGTCTTACATTATTGCATTTATTCAATTATATCATCAGAACTTTCTCATGTTAATAAGTAATGAGTCAGATGTTACTATTTCAAATATAAGCTACATTTCGTGACGGTTAATGTTTCGTTCTGCCGTACATCTTATTAAACGTTTCTTTGGTTAGGTTCCTTATGATGCGTTTGCAATGCCGGTCTAGAAATACAGGTCATCTGTCACGTGGCACATGTCGATTCGTTCACTGCCGTTCAATCTCGGTTTGAAACAGAACCACACAGCAAAATAGTAGGACAAGAACAATAACAGAAGAAGGAGCATTAAATTAATAAAATGCCCTACAAGTAAGAGGGACGCCGATCACAGTGGCTGCGCGGTATATGGCATGAACTGCTTTCGTTTGCTCGGACACTGGGGTCATGGGCACTTCTAAATTCGTAACTAATGAGGGGTGACTAAGATTCATGCTCCGACTGATTTATCCCATATAAACTACCGCAGATGTGCATGTAACATTTTATATGGAGACAGAGAGTTTGATTTTATTTATACTCGTGCATCAACAATTACGAAAATGACGATGCAAACCCCCCAGTTTATTCTTATAACCCAGGATATTAAAGATAATATAAATACATGATTTATGTAAATATATGGTCATAGTTCGTGATAGTTCCATCGTACAGAAACAAAACAAAAAAAAACTCGGTGGTTTTAGTCCGCAAAAGAACTATACCGACAGAGCGACCGCCGCTTGTCGGCGAAGTTAGTAGACTACAGCAACATTTTTCCCTTGAACCTGTTGTAATGATCGCACTGTACTTACCGCCGAGATGTCCATTCTCGTAGCCCGGGTATTCGCCGTTGTCGAGCCGGTGCTTCTTCAGCTGCTGGTGATGCTGGGCGAGGTGGCTAGCAGCGATTGAGAGACCGACAGTTGCCCGCTTCGGAGGTCGCCCAGGCCTGGAGCTGCGGAGTAGCAGAGAGTTACTGTGGTTAGAGGAACGCGCGTTAGTAGACAGGATCAGGACCGAGGTGGCGGGTGTACACGGAACATGTCATACATAAGGTTTCAGGTCTCGATCAGGTACACAACATCACAGGTGTAATGGCTATTAGATAGAAAACAATGTTAGAGAAGTAAATATTTCTGTGATGCTGAAGCGTAGTTGGTTGAGACACTATGCAACAAATCGGAAGGAAGCGAATTCGATTCCCGATGAGGTAACTGGATTTTTTCATTGTACCTAATACTTCCAGCAGCATTATAGCTCTGTGGTTGACTTGGAATCCAACAGAAAGGAGTATCAGCAATCTTCCTGAGGGGTAAAGGACAGCCGGCGCGTAAGGCTGACAACCTTACCGCCATGTGTGAGCCGATTGTCTAGAGAAAATGTGGGTTCCTCGACGTCTCACAACCGTATGTGCCGGCCTGTTACAGGGATAACTCTACCTTTACCTTTAGTCAGGGTCGCGCCATAGCTCAAGCGGTTAGTCGCTGGCTTCCCACCGCGGTGGCCCGGGTTCGATCCCAGATCTGGTCAAGTGGGATTTGTGGTGGACAAAGTGACGCTGGGGCGGGTTTTCTCCGAGTACTTCGGTTTCCTCTTCCAATATTCATTCCATTAAATTCTCCAATATCATAATCACCCGGGGCAGGCTACAATAGGCCAATCAGTGGCCGAGTGGGCCCAGTTGAACTCCACCCCTCACTAAGCGAATTACTTTTACTGAAGTAGAAAATTATTAAGCATGAAACCCGGAAATTTAACCGATGTGAGGGCGGTAGCTGCCACAGTTACATGAGTAAATAACCTCCCTTATCCTTATCAAAGTCTTGTATATTTGAACGGGGATATATTGATTTAAGAATTTCAAATAGGCAAAGGGCGAAATTTCTTGCTACCATTCAGTCCAGAACCTTCTTGAGTAGCTGCAGATTTGGCTTCTCCTGAAGAAGGGCTCAGATCCATATGTAAGTAAGTAAAGAACGAAATGGTCGTTTGGAAACAGCAATCTCTATTTCGGGGTTTAATAAATAATGAAAATACTCGTCACTCTGTTACCCTTTAAATCGAGTATTAATTTAAGATTTTTGAAGATTAATATACAATTCTTGTTTCACTGTGTATCCGAATATTATTGTGTAACAAAAGGATATTACCATGGTAGGAGAACTGGTGAGAGAAATAAAGGAACACAAATAAAAGAATGAGGTTAGTACAGCAGTAATATAAATTAAACTATACACAAATCTGAAAGCAATTAATAATCAGCGACCAAGTTCTTTTTTTTAATTTAAGGACTCAGTAGAACTTGCAGTAAAAACAAGTCAAACATAATACAAAGTTTAGTAACCAGTTTACTATATTATATTTAAACATCCTGTTGCACTATACACTTCTATATGTAATAATACAAATGCCGTTGTGAATGCAACAATTTATTTGGTTGCAGTTCTTTGTAGTGTAGAGGAAGGAACGACAAAGATCTACAACAAAATAAATTGTTGCATTCACGACGGCATTTGTATTATTACATAGAGAAATATAGAAATCATAATCAAATGACGCCTGGAAACATAATTATACCCAGATCACAAGAATGGATGGCAGACACCGCAGGGTACACTGTTTCTTGTTTATGTGTGTAAAAATTAATGCATTATGAGTTGACAATATCAAAATTATCTGCTTGTATAATCCCATGACAGGCTGATCTCAACTGAATCTACAATCAACTAATTACATTAACCGAAATAATAAATAAATATAATATTATTATTTCTCAACAGATGATGGTTACATAAACAAAGAAATGTTCTAACTTAACAGAACCCCGAAAATGTATCACCATCATTACAAAAGCCTGGAACCGACATTAAGCCCATTTTAGTTCCACACAAATATTATTCTCCGTTTGCATCCAGTTTGTGAGATTTTCAGTTCTCACGGAGATGAATATTAAGATCACTTTATTCTCTGATGTGACGCCGTGCAGCCTGTTTTGATATTAACCTGTATCGCACACCAGAATACAACAACCGTCTACCTCGATTCTCCCAAGTCGTCTTTCGACTTCGAGTGAAAATATCGATTTAGAACTTTATCGTTACTTTCGATAGTTGCCATTGTAGTGAGGTGTTTCAGGAAGTTATTTAACGAGATAAGAATACTCGATGTAATTCAAGCAGTTACCTTGTCCTTTGATTTACCTGGGTGTAATACCACTTTTATCCCCTATGCCATAACTTGGTTTGAGTTAATCTCAAACTTAAAGACACGTATAAAAGTCAGATACAAAACAGAGGGTTGGGGAAATGAATGGTATATACTCTGGAGCTATTTCTTATATTAGAGCTATAAAGAAGAAGATGACATAGTGACACTCGAGAGCAAATAAAACAGTGACCATTGCATCGCTATACTGGCAGATAAGACCGGGGAGAGGATTGGACACAATCCCCTGCCACCACCACACTGAAATGAATACAGGGGTGTCAATTCTGTATAGGAGGTTTAATAAGCTTCCCAGAATACGGTGTAACAACATAAATATACAAGCAACCTGCGTTCGGATATTGATGAAACATAAAATGTTAAAATGTAAAAGTAAAGTTGGTTGAGGGGCTATGCTACAAGCCGGAAGGTCGCGGCGTTCAAATCTCGATGAGGTCATTGGATTTTTTTCAATTTACCTAATCCTTCCAGCCGCACTATGGCCCCAGGATCGACTCAGCCTCTAATAGAAATGAGTACCAGGAATTAAATAATATTCCTTGGGAGTAAAGCGCGGCCGGTGCGTAAGGCTGAAACCTTACCGCCATCTTTGAGCCGATTGTCTAGATAATGTGGGACCCTCAACGTCTCACAACCATATGGGCCTTCACGGTCTGGTGCCGGTATAGCTTTACTATTTAAAAGTAATGTTAGTACATTAAACTGGGCCACAACGGCATCCCTTCTCACATTTTCTAATTCAATATTCTCTGGAATCCGATCATTTCATGCCACACTGAGTTTCTCACGGTGTAGTTAAATAAATTACAAAAAATAATATAACCGCGCCTCCGATTTTGGGGTTCTCGAACACTGGGGACGTGAGTTCGGATACTTATCCCCACCTTACATTGTCCAGCGATGACCGAAGCAATGCGATGTTGCGATATCATCTGGCATCTGTCTGATTAAGGCGTGGGCTCGTTCTAAAGCCGAGAATGTTTATGCAGTGGCAACGCTCTGAATTTGTATTCGGAGGGTCCTCCGTTTGAATTTCGATCAAGATGCCTGTTGTCCTGAATGGAGTTTTCTTGAATTTGAGTCTCTCCATGTAAATTCGTATATAGTACCTCAAATACGCCAAGATTGCTTCCTGTCAAATCAATTCAAATTCGTTATTCACCAGTTGTCATATTGCCTGAAGTCGTCTGGTTTGAGGTACTTGGAGCGTTGTAAAATATACCAAAAAATGTATATATAAAAGACACCAAAGTTTCAAAGGGGATGCAGCGGAAAGAGGAAATTGATCCGTGTTAATCAGGGGACCAGTTATGACATTGGATAGCAAATTTTTGGAATCAGTACATAATCAGAAGGTATTTACGTAAAGCCGTATTGCCTACAGGTGTACGAGAAATTGTCGGCGCTATTGCTCGAATAAAGTGTCCCGACACTTGGTTAAGGACTAATTCCTAGGGCTGATAAACGACACTGCATAGACCATACTGCGTCAAACTGTATTATGACTGTATCATGAATTACACAAAAAAAAACAGGGGGGAATAGCTGATGACCCATTTGAAAGAATTATTCCAGAATTTGCTTGGAAGAGCTAGGAGAAAAATATAAGAAAATTGTGTCAATATAGTCTAGCTCTACGTAGATGACAGAGGCACTCATATTTTTAGAAAACACAGAACTACAATTTCTCCTGTGGTTCTGTATAATTGTGAAACTAGGTTTCTGACATTAAGGGAGGAGCATAGACTGAGGGTGTTTGAGAGCAAGGTGCTGAGGAGAATATTTGGACCGAAGAGGGTTGAATTAAAGAAAAATGGATAATGAGTACCTTCATAATTTGTACTCTTCATCAAGTATAATTAGAATAAGCGAGTCAAGGATGATGAGATGGGCAGGGCATGTAGCATGAATTGGGAGGAGTGCATGTAGGATTTTGTTGGGAAAGCCAGGTGGAAAGAGATCACTACGCGGGCCTGGAAATATGTGGAAGGTTAATATAAAGATGGATCTTAGAGAGATAGGATTGGGTGGTGTTGACTTGATTAATGTGGCTCAGGATAGGAACCAGTGGAAGGCTATTGCGTAAACGATAATGGACCTTCGAGTTCCATAATATTTTGGGAACTTCTTGAGTAAGTGAGCAACTGGCGGCTTCTCGAGAAGAGCTGATTTTCATGAAGTTAGTTTGCGTAAGACAGTTCAGTCGTTTAGAATAATTGGGCAACCCTGACCGCTATTTCCGAGTTTTCCCATTTCTGGATAGAACGAAGAAACAGTAAGGAAGACACGAAGGGCTTCAATCCCAAAAGAAGGAGTCGTAACCGAAGTCTCTCTTCTACAGACCAACAGAACTGAACGACTAAATATGACACCCCACCCCACCCCACACTCAACATTGCAAGACACGGGTTATGATCAATCTACTTCACACGTCCTAAATGGAAGAAACTGCTTGTCGGCCGTAATGCGAGGGTTGTATTATATTTGGTCAAGAAATCGTGACAGGCAGTGTTAAGTGCAACAGTGGTAATGGCAAGGAAAGCCGTCTAGTAGCGGATGCTACGCAACGGTCTCTTGTAGTGTGATTACTTGATGAGCTACTTAGCAATGTATCGTGCGATTCAGAAAGCTAAAACTCTTCTGGCCAATTCAGACACTAGATAACTAAATAACTAACACAATCTTTATTAAATCCAAGAAACAGAGCTATCTGAAAATAGATAATGCGAT